TCCACAGTACTGTAGTCGTTCACGTTTACTATATAATTTTTCCATTATTATTGATGATGACTCTAGATATCCAATAATTATTTCAAGACAAAGTAAAGGATTATGTTGTTTGATATAACTAATAAGATCTCTTCTTTTAACAGAACCTCTTTCTGCTATTTCATCATAAAGAATTTGACATTTCTTAAGAAAGTTAAGAAAAATCTTTAATGAAGAAAAACAGATAAAAGAATGTTCGATACAATGTAAGAAAGGTGTTGTAATTTGAGAAGTAAATGGAAGTGTTTTAGATGTCAAAGGAATGAATCTATTAAATTCAGTTTGTGTTATAAAAGCATCAATTTGAAATTCATCATTTTCAAAGAATAATTCAACACAATATTCTAATATTGAAGCTAATGTGTCATCTGTAAAGATTGGATTATAATAATTAAAGCAAGAAAAACAACAGAAACATAATGAGCATGTAATTAAGTTGTCTTTTAATAATGGAAAATATTCTAAAAGTAATTGATTTGCATTTATTTGAAGACAAGGAAAACTTGATGAAAGATTTACTAATAGAATAAGATCGTAATAAAGAACTTCTTTAATTGAATAAATCAAAGAAAATGTATCTGGATGAAAAGAACATAATATTGGAATAATGTCAAAAAGAATTGGTATAAGTTTATCAGAATGAAGAAAGTCAGGAGATAATGGATGAGTCAAATTAAGAAGATTTGATAAAACAATTTTTAATGAATGAAGAGAATTTAATGGATTTGAACGAAGTTCATTTGAAAGAAATTGAATGATATTTAACATTTGAGAAATGCTTAATGGAAGTTGGTTATCTGCTTTAATTAATACATAGTGATTTGTTTTTGGAGTAATATATAATGATTCAATTTTAGAGATAATAAAAGAAAGATCTATGTGATAAACAATATTATCATATTGATATTCATTTGACTGTTCTCCTTCAAAGAAGAAGGAAAGAAAGTGTTGTTGGTCTAAAGTTAATTGTTGAGATAGTCTATAATGGTTTAGAACATCAAGGAATTGTTGTTTCATTTTACTTTCTGAAAGAAGAAGCAAAGACTGAATAACTCCAGGAAGTAGTTTTGAAGAAGAAAGATATAATTTTAATAATACAATAACATAATCATATACAATATTATCTGAAAGAAGTCCCAACCCAATCATTCTTTCAATTAAAAACGATGTAAATGAATATGTTTGTTCAGTTGGTGAATTATGAAGTTCTTTAAGAAGAGAAGATAAAACTGGAGTTAAATCTTCATCTGGAAGTGATTTAATTTCTAAATAAAATTGTAACAATGCACGATTTTTCATCTCCAATGATTGTTTAAAAAGAGGTGTTAAGTTGATAGTATCTTTAAGGTATGATTTAAATGGATACTCTGTACTAATATACTCAGTTAACACTATTAATGAAAATTCGTCTCTAGTAATTAGTAATAAAACGTATTTCAATATAAAAGTTTCTAAACAAACAAATGGGGTAATATATCGAGTAAGAATTGAGTAAATATTTTATATGTTCCTTTAGATAAATAAGTAAATAATAGTAATATGATATTACAATCAATCAATTGTTGTTTTGTTTTAACCAATTGTAAATATTGTGAATAACTAAACATTTCAATTGAACCTCCAAAATCGTTTTCAAAACAAGTAATATGACGACTCATATTTGGAACACGAGCAGATCTTCTTTTTTTAGTATGAAATAAAACACTACTATCTTCACTTATTTCTCTAATTATTGGTTTATCTCCAATAAAAGAACTCTCTGAATCACCTGAGTTATAGCCAAAGAAAACTTGAGAATACGACTCATCAAAATGTGACATTTCAAAGACTTCTTTGTTCTTCTAATAAAATTTTGTTTTTCTTGTTTTTGAGATTTTGGTTTTTAGTTTTTCTAATTTAAAATAATGGTAATCACGAATTAATTTTCTTATTAAATCTCATCTTATTTTCTTGTTCAAACCAAACAGAATGAATAAGTTCATTAAATCAAGTATGACAGAAGAACAATTACAAAAATGGATTGAAGAAAGGAAAAAAAGGTTTCCAACAAAGGCTAAAAGAGAGAAATGTCTTTTTGAGGAAAAAAAAAAAACAGATGAGATTGAAAAAAAAAAAATTGATGAAAGTAAACCCAAAAAGAATGAAGAAGAAAGTGATAGTCCCATTGAAATTAAAGGAAAATTAGAAGATGATGTTGGAAAAGAAATTAAAGAAATTAAAATACTTAAAGAAAAAGAAGAAGAAAGTAAGAATGAAAAAAATAAGAAAAGAAATCAAGACATCACTCAACTTATGATGGACCAAATGCAAAAACAAGTTCAAGAAGTTGAATACGATATTTTATTAGAGGCAATAGATTTTTTAATTCCAATTTTTCAATAAACCAAAAATTTACTTTTATAATTGAATGTTTGACTAAACTTTTTATTATATTTTTCATCAATTTATAATTTGTGGTCTTATACAAAATATCATTGAAAAGTTATTTAAAAAATACCAAAAATACTACTTTGAATGAATTTATTTATTATCCCTTTTTTATAAATAACATTTATTTTTGTGTACAAAACAAACCAAAATCTTTTCTTATGATGTATTACTTAAAGACTTTATCAAACTAACCTTATGTTAACTACCTTATCTGAAAAAGAAATCAATTTTATATAAATAAAATCAGAATTATTGGTTGATTTAGTATAGAGAATATTTTTGTTATATAGATAGTAAAAAGAAAGTTATACAAAGAAGAAATTAAATAATTTCTAATTGAACAAGAAAAAGAATATAAAAGATATAAAACTAATTCTAAAATTTGTAAATATTATATAAAAGGAGTTTAGTGAATTAGAAACACATTAAAAATGTTAATGTAATTAGAACAGATTATGTATTTTTGTGTAAATTTCAATAGTATTATTAAAAGATAAATGTCTTAAAAAAATAATGATTATATAGTGTGATGGAATAATATTTAAACTATTATTAAAAAGTATTAAAAAAGAAAGAAAGTCTATTATGATTAAGAAAGTTTTATTATTTATTAAGAAAGAATTATAATTAAATTAATAATAGAATACAAATCATAATTCGAATATAGTTATTTTTAAATATTGTATAAACATCATTCATAACAACATACCACCAATTTTATATTCTTATTTTTTTCTTATAAAATATTAATAAAGAGAATTGAAGTACATAAATAGAAGAACTATAACTATGAGAATAGAGAATAAAAAGGAAGTTAATTGATATTAATTCTTATTTAAGTAAAATGATTTATCATTAAAAGTTATATTAAAAAATAGTTTTATTTTTTTTTATAAATTAATTTTACAATAAAAACATCATTTTTTTGTTTATTTTATTGTTTATTAACAAATTAAAAGAAGAACTAAAAAAAATTGATAATTATTTGTTATTCTATGAATCAAGACTCTTTTATAGTTACTTCAGAAGGTAATTCAATTGTATGTAATATTAACGTACCAGATGACGTTTTTGTAATGGGGGAATCATGGGTTGGTGTATATGTAGTTAATAGAGAAAAAAATGAACATTACCATAAAAGTCAATACGTTACATCAGCAACATCAATTATTAAATTTAATACATTAAGAGATGGTATGTATGATGTAAGATATTTCAAAGAGGGTTATGAAAAATGTTTTAATAAACCTGTTTCAATTGGACAATTAGTTACTCCAAAATATACAATTAGTGACATAAATTCAAATGAATATAAACTCCATTTAATATTTAATCGAGAACACTTACTTCCTGGAGATTGGTTTGGATTATTTAAAAAAAGTTCAATGAGTCAAAAAAGTCCAATCTTTCAAATACGCGTTGATCCAAAACAAAATGAATATGATATTGATCTTCTTTCATTTAATTTGGAACCTTATTATTATTGTTTTGAAGATGGAATTTTAACAACCAAACAAGAAAGATTTGAAATTAGATATTATCGTTCAGGATGTACTTGTTATAATGAAAGAGTAGTACATATTGGATTAGGGCTAAATGCAATTTCAGTGAATTTATATAGTTTTGTTCCTTCAGGTATTTGTCCTCTTAATGAAATAGAATTAAGTGCATTATTAACGAATGTTCATAATATAAATAATTCTATTAACCTTATTTATTGCTCAAATGTTAAAAAGTTTGAAATTCAAGTATATAATGAAAATGTATTAATTCAAACTTATACAGACTCAAATTTACGTCGATCTGCTGAAATAACTATTAATTTACCTCCAATACCAATTGGATCTGTTATTGAAATTCGATTAGTTTGTTTAGCAACAAAACATATCCTTGCAAAAACTGAATATGAAATGAAGTAATTGAATTATTCTGCATCACTTGTTTCTGATAATGCATTTGGAGAAGTAGATCTTTCATCTAAAATTTTAGGAGTTTGAATAGAAGTATTTGACTCTGATCTCCTTAATTCTTTAACACTTTCATCAACTCTTTTTGAGTATTTTTTAATAAATACTTCAAAATAAAAATTAGCTCCATTTGAAATAGCCCAAGTAACACAGAAAAGAATCCATAATAATTCTAAGTATTGATAATGATAATAAATGAAAGTAGGAAGAATAGTTATTATAGTGTAAATAAATTGAACAGTTATTAATATTACCAATGGTCTATCTTTAAAACCTTTCTTTAATAAATAAAGATAAACTGGATGAGGATGTTCTTGACTTAACCAAATAAGTGATGTAATATAATGATTCTTTTTAATAGTTTCTTTTTTAAATCCTTCTGTAATAATTAAATAAATAATTTGCCATAAAATATAAAGGAAAGATGGAATAATTAAACCATTCATTATTGTTAATTGTGGTACTGTAGTTAATACATACCATCTAATACAATAAATTACTAGTCCTGGAAATAGATGAATATAAACACTTGTTAAACGATCTAAGTCATGAAATACTAATGAATTTCTCCACATTGGAATTGCTGTTAACAAAGGACCATGAGAAAATACAAAAGCTATTTGGAATAATGGTGAAATGTATTCAGTATTTAAAGAAAAAATACAAAGTAGAGTTATAATTTGACAGAAATAACAAAAGTCAATCATAAAATATTGCCATCCATTCTTTTTGTAAATAAAATAACGAGCTCCTAATAATGGAAAAATTAAAATAACATAATAATATGGCATAAATTGGGGAAGTGCTGACAATATATGTTGAGTAAGTAATAATGTTAATACACCACAAACAAATGAAACTTTATCTAATGTCTTTAAAAATGGTTCTGATTCCATTAATTTATTTAATTTGTTTTGGTATTTGTCAATAAAAGATAGCCCATGTTTATCCATTAAACGAGAAATGTATTGACGTTGGAATTCTCTTTGATATTTCTCTTCAGAAGAAGTAGACATTGAACCGTTTAAACTATTTTATTTTTTTTAAGTTCCTTAGTTAATATTGGGATACAAAAAACAAAAAAAGTTATTAAAAAAACAATCGACAAAAATGAAATATACTTTCTATTTTTTTTTCAATAAATTTAAGTTATATATAACATAAAATTATTTGTTTAGGGTTGAAAAGAGGTTCACAGAATATCTTCAATGAGAAAGTTCTTTTTTCTGAAATGAGTTGTAAAAATAAAAGAGGAATCGAAACTAATTGTTTAACTAAAGAAAGAAACGAAGAAAAATAGTAAGATTAATGATTGAAATTGTGGAATCATTTGTTTGTAGATAAGGAGATAAGAACAAAGGAAACTTGAGTGAATGGAATTCGAGTCATTTCTCTATTTTCCAAAACATGAATAACGAGAAAGATAGTTCCAAAAATAAATACAGCCAAGAAAGAGTTTAAAACTATTCAAAATGAAAAAGTGAATTCCAATGAAAAAGCTGTTCATACTTGAAGAACTGAAAGTAACGGATGAAAGTATTTAGAGATTGTTGTAAAGATTAGAACTATTTTCACTTTTAGATGGACAGCACAGAGAAACCAGTAAGAAATACTAGAAGACGAAGAGAGAAAATTGAAAAACCAGAAAAGGATTATGAAATGCTGCAACAATCATTACTTATTGCGTTAGCGTCACCATACTGCGAAATTAGTTTGTCCAAGCCACTTACAAAAACAAAAACAATACCACCAATCTTTAAGATTCAGAACATAAAATTTGAAAAAGAAGAGATGGATTTTGGGAACGTTGTTGAAGAAAAAACTAAACAAATTGTTTCAAATGAGGTAAGTCATGGAATCGATGAAAATAAAGCAAAACGCCATAGTGAGATAAATAGAATTAGTATTGCAGTAAATATGTTATTTGATATTTGTCTTGAACTTGGATATTTCTTCACTTTAAAAAAATCTAGGAAAATGTCTTCTACAATACGAATCGATCGTATTGAACAAGTCTATTTTAATGGTTCATTAATTCTATCTAAAAATCAAGTAAAAGAATCAAGTTTTAAAGCAAATAATATTTTGAATACTCTCTTTGATACTAAAGAAACTATTGTTATACCTCAAAATTGTTATGAGTTAAAAGAAGTAATTCCTTCTTTACCATAACTTCTCGATTTCAAATTTATGTAAACTTAATAATAAATCCGTTTAATTGATATTATTCTTTCTTATCTCTTCTATTTCCTTTTTCTAATACTTTTTTTAATTTCCATAATTGATGTTTTTTATCCCATTTTTTTATTAACAAAAAAAAATAAATTTTTTATATTAAAAAACAAAAAATTAAACCTCAAAATTTGAAAAATTAATAAATAAACTTAAAATAAATCATTTATGTCATCTCTTTCAACTACACAAACATCTTTTGTCAAAATAAAACCAGTTGATCCCAAATACCTCAAATACTCAATCCCATCTGACTTACCATATTATCCATTTGGTAAAGATCTTAAAGCATTACCAATTTCTGTTTTTAACTTACCTTTTAGTAAACATTCCGAAATTCCTGAGTTTGAATGTTATGGAGGAAAATATGATAAATTTACTCTTGAAGAAATAACAAAAAGAGTTCCTATCCCTATATCAAAGATTGTTAAATGTCAGCTATGTGACTTTAATGACATTGATAGTATTTGTAATGGTCTTATAAAAGAAAATATTAATTCATTAGAATACTTGCATCGAACAAATCAATTAGATTCATCGATTAAATTCGCTTCAATTAATAAAGAACTTGTACTCCAAATTTTACAGTTTTATCGAAATGAGTTAGAAGTTATTATTACACCATCTCTTTCTGGGGCTATTCGTATGTTAGCAGAAGAAAAAGGAGATGATTTATATATATTTTTTGAAGAACTTGATGTTTATAATATTTATGCTATCTTTGTTATATTATGGAACCAAGAGACTTCAAAAAAAATTACTAAACTTTGTATAGAAAAATCTTTTGGTGTACAAATTTTAGATTATTATAAGAAAACGTCAGATGAAAAAACTAAATCTATTTGTCTTCAAACACTTCTTTTAGTATTATTTAGAACAGATAACCCTTGTGGAATAACAAAAGACATGAGCATTCAATTTATTGCATCATTAATCCAACAAACAGTATCTTTACCAAAACTTCTTTGTAATTTTTCTTATTGTATTGTTTATTTATTAACATCCTTTTATCCTGTTCTTCTTAGTATCTTTGAATGTACACAGTTTGATACTATTGTTTCTATTGTATCGTTTTGTCCTACTGCTTTATGTGTTTTAAAAAAAATAAAGAAATCTTGTTATAAAATACATAATATTGTTGATCCAACTCCCGGTTTTAGAATATTACTTGGGCATTATTTTAAACATACAACTCAATTATATTTAATAAAAGATCAAGTACTTGATTTAGTTAATAACATTTGTTCATATTCTCCATATCCCTATAATTATGAATCTGAAATATTATATGGAATGTGTTATTTATTACATGGATTAATTAAAACGCAATGGAGTGAAGTTGAAAATAAACAAGATATATTTGAGAGTATACTTAAATTTGTTATTCCACAAATTAATAGGTCCTGTGATTCATCATATTGTGACCAAACAAAAGGAACTTTTTGTTCTAAATCAAGAAGATTATTATTTAAATGTCTTTTGATGATTATTAGTCAAAGTGAAGATTTAACAGAGTACCAAATTACTAAAAAGTTTTTAACAAACATTTATAATAATGAAGACTCATTAGCAATTGAAAATAATCACCCACAATTGAGTTGTTATTATGAAAAAGGATATTCTAATGTATATGAATGTTTAATTCATTCAAAATATATTCAGAATATTATTTTTAAAGGAGGTATTGATAAAACTAATTTAGGAAAGATAACTAAATATTTATATGGGTATAATACTACTGTTTTAATTAACGATACAATGAAATTAAATGTTAATGAAATTCTTGATTCTGTAATTCAAAATATTGATAGTACAGATATTTGTTTAGTAAATGACAATTCTTTTGTAGATAGTACTATATATGAAACAAATAAACCTGTTGTTATTTTATGTTTAAACATATTTAAAGAAGGTCAGATTATTACCACAAATAAATCTTTCCGTGTTGTTTTTGAAAATAGTGATAGAGAAGTGTATCGTCTTGTTAGTGGAATTTTCATTAAAGAGTTTCATGAGAAAAATGAATGTATCATTTTGAAAAAAATTAATGAAGAACAGTTTAAATTAAATTCAAAACCAGTTAATAGAAGTAAAACGGTATTAGGACTCAAAGAATTATTAATAATGAGTGAAGGCAATAATATTCTAGGGAACGAAAGAGAAGCTTTAATTCCTGTTATATTGGTTTATGAAAAAGATAATTGGGATCATGGTGAAATGCCAGGAATTGAACAAGTACTTAATGAAAGTGTTTGTATTCGTGATATTAAAGGATTAAAATATTCTACATGGCTAATATCAGATTTAAATACAGCACTTTTTGATATTGAGTTAGAAATCTGGAAACGAACAAAATCCATTTTGTCATTCAAATCTCCCTTAAAATTAAGGAAGTTACTTCTTTCATTACCTGAAGAATATCAAAAAAGTATTATATTTCATATTTTTTGTACAATTAGTAATTTCATTTATAAATCTTCTAAACCAAATGTTTCTAGTCATATCAAAAAATTAACGTATTTATTTATCCAACTCATTGATAGTGATGAAAAATTTCTTAGACTAACACTAAGTGAATATAACAAATTAAGCAATTTCAAAGAACTCACTTATTCTGAGAATTCGTACTTCTTTCAATCATTTTTAATTACTCTTTATGTTAAATTGTCATATTATACATCTTCATATTCTGAGCAATGTTATCTCCAATTCTTAAATTCTTTGCAAATGATTAATAAATTTGATATTAATTACCAAACAGCAAGTGCCTTTAATACGATTATATCTGGATTAGTTTTATCTAATCCAGAATATTATCCCTTCTTCTTGAAGACAAATTTCATTTCCTTTTTGTTTGAAATTCTCCCATTTAAACCACCACTCACATACGAGAAAATTAATGTAACTTCGGTGTTACATTTATGGCTAATGGTTTCAATCCCTAAATTGGATACAAATAAATCTTTTAAAAGTCAAATCTGTAATGGAAATTATAAAGAAGAGTTAGTCTCTTTATTTATTAAAAAGTACGAAACATTCGTTCTATATTCTGTTGATCTCAAATTAGTAATTGCTTTGACTATTTATTTATGTAAAAACAATCAAACAAATACTGAAAATGTTCTAAAGACTATCTTAGATAATATAAGTTTCAATGAGTATAATTCTTGGAGCATAGTTCTTGAAGAGTTTTTAGAATGTGATGATAAATTAAAAGAATTTAAGATAAATGCTTTTATAGAAAATCCTTCTCTCTTCAAGTTCAGAATCGATTCTAATACAAGAAAACTCACAAAGGTTTGCTCTTATTTAGTAAGACTTATCCAAAGGTATAACAACAAAATTAAAAAGAATGAAAACTTTGCACGAGTATTAAATGATATGAAACAGGCAATAGAAGATAAACTTAAAATGAATAATAGCGTTAATAAGTTATTGGACCTTTCATTAAAAGAGTTACTTCAAATGAAAAATAACCATCAACTAAGTCAAATTACTAGTCCTTTATTATTTTCAATTTACATTGATGTTCTAACTCTTATTGATACCGAAATTAAGAATGGAAATTGTCATTTCATTTTGAAAGACTATGGCATGAATAAAGTTTGTTTAAATAAATTATATCTCATTTTATTGTTTATCTCATTTCACTCACTTTATTAGATTCAATTAGTTTATATGAAAGCACTTATAAAACACTGCCAAAAGGAACTTGATTATAGGAACAGGCCTCCCCCACCCAATCTTCAACAACCTACTCATCCACTTGAACCTATTCCTTTTCTGATGTAGGTCTGTAGTATAACTCTAAGCCACCAAACTATTCATTAACTTCTTCATCAGATTCAACAGTCAATTGACTTTTTCTTTCATATCATTTTTAAAACATAAGGAATAAAGAGAAATAAGAATTAAAGGGGTTTAAGTTTTAAAGAAGAGAGATGAGAAGAGATAAGAGAGATAGAATTTAATAAAAGGGAAAGATCGCCATTGTCTACGTCAAAGTTAGAGAAATTAGAAAGAAGGGAATTGTAATAAGAGTCCAAGTTTAGATTTGAGGATAAAGGAAGGATAGGAGAGGAAGTGGATAAAGAATTAGCGATTTGAGAAGCACGAGAGATGAGAGAAGAAGGGAGATGAGCCAAACGAGCGGAGTGGATTGCATAAGAGGAGTCAGATATACCATTAACAAGACGATATAAAAAAGTGATAGAGTTATTGGAGTGATTAAGAAGAACATCCATTTTAAGAGGAACACATTTAGATAAGTCAATATAATGAAAAATTGAAAAGAAATGAGTTGAAATGATTGTTTTTGGAGCATTAGAAGCTAAAGATTGAAGATAAAGAATAGTAGAAATGAATAAAGCTAAACCATCAGAAGGATGAGTTCCTTTACCGAATTCATCAATAAGTAATAAAGAATCGGAAGAAAGAGTATTAAGAGAAGAACTAAGAAGAGAACAATCAAAAGTAAAAGAAGATAAAGAAGAAAGAGAAGAATCAGAAGAAGAGAATTTAGTAAAAATATGAGTAAAAAGAGGGATTTGAGCATTATCAGCACAAACACCAGAACCAATTAAAGCCATAATAACATTAAGTCCAACTTGTTTTAAATAAATAGTTTTACCACTAGAATTTGGACCAGTAATTATTTGAATAGGAATAGAAAGAATTTTAGTAGAATTAGGAATAGAAGAAGAAGTTAATAATTCAAGAATTGGATTTCTAGCATTAGATAAAATTAAAGGATCAGAAGAATTAACAATAGAAGGTAAATTCCAATTAAATAACATATTACAAACAACAAAATTAAGTAAAACATCAAATTCCGATAAAATATTATAAATAGTATAAGAATGAAATAAATAAGGAATAAGAGAAATAGATAAATTATCTAAAAGAAAAGTTTTAAAATCAAGAATTTTTTGATTAATATCACCAATAGAATTATCAAGTTCAATACAATGAATATCTTTATAATAATAAAAATCATTAGATTTAAAGATTAAATTCCAATTTGAATCAAAAGAATTATAAAATAAAGGAATTTCAATTAAAAAACCTAATTTATTAAAGAAACAATATTTTAAATGATATTTAGAATTATAATCAATAAGAATATGATTAATTTGATTAAATTGAAGAATTAAATTATCATAATTATTATTAAAACCTGAATTAATAAATAATTGATTTTGAAATAAATAATTAATATTAAAAATTTCATCTAAATAATTTTTAATTGTATTAATTAATTGAAAAATATTTTCAAATTGAATAATAATTCTATGTTTAAATGAATAATTATTAAGTATTTTAATTATTTGATAAATAGAATATATAATTTTATAAAATTTAATCCAATCATTATCTTTCATTTGAAAGATTTGAATTTTATTACTTAAATTTAAAAATTCATTAGTTTTTTTAAGATATTTTCTTATTATATCAATAATTCCTTTATATTCTTCTTTTCCAATTTCTTTTTGAAATTCTTGTCTTTCTTTAATAATATATTTATCAATTTCTATTCTTAATATCCATTCTTTTAATAATTTACTTCCTCCTTTAGTCATACATTTATTTAAACATCCATATAAACTTATTCCTTCTTTTCCTCCTCCTTTACTATGAATATCTGGATGTTCTTCTTTTTTAAAAATATTTAATGATTTAAATGTATATTCATCAATATAAACTATTTTATCCCATTCTATTCTTTTAATTTCTTTAATTAAATATTTTCCTTTTTCTGTTTCTTCTTGATTTTTAATATATTCATAATAATATTTTAATAATCCTCCAATTGCTTTTGTTAATTCATTATTTTTTTCAATTGGAATATATCTTGAAATTAAAATATTTATTCTTTCTTTATTTTCTTTTCTTTTATTATTTTCTTCTTTAATTATTTCAATATATTTTTTACATGTTTCAATACTAAAATCTTGACTTGGTCTAATTATAATTTTCTTTTCTTTTCTTTCTAATTCTTTAATATTTTCTTCTCCAATATGATTATGTGTAATAATAATATTTCCTTCTGTTTGATAAATATATCTATCTATTTTTGATTTTTCCTTTTTTTTAATATTTACTTTTGATATTTCTAATTTCCCTTCTTCAATATCAATTGTTGCAATTCCTAATTCATTTCCTTTAATACTAATTGATGTAATTTTATTATTATTATCTTCTTCTTCTTTATTATTTTCTTTTCTTTTTTCAATATTTTTTTCAATTTCTTCTAATTCTTTTTCTTGTTTTCTTTTTCTTTTATCATCATCTTCTTTTCTCGGTATAATTTCTTCTATTGAAAAATTAAGTTGTGAATTTGATTTGTTATCACATAGAACTTGTGCTGAATTAACCAATGTTTGATTCGTATGTGTTGAGTTTGAAAGAAGTTTAGAAAGAAGAGGTGTTTTTTGAAGAAAACTAGGTGAACTTCCTGTTGTTTTTAATGGATTTGTAAATCTTTCATTCTTCTTTGATGATGTGGTTGAAGAAAATAAATTAGAAGATGGTAGTTCAGAACTAAGTAAATTAGGTGATGAACGAGATTGAATACATGAAGAATTCTCATCAGATAAAGGAGATAAATCATATTCATCAGTCATATTCTTTATAAGAAAAAATAAACAAATAAATGTTTAAATAGAGAAAGGAGATTGAAAGATTGAAATAAGATAAAATGAGAAGAAGAAAAAGAGAATAAAAACTAAAATAAGAAAAAAATAAATTAATTAAATATTGATAACATTTTATTCTTTATTATTCTTTTATTTGAATATCTTATTTCTATTTCATCAGAAAATAATAATTTAAATTAAATAAAAATATCAATTAATAGATATATCTACAATGTGATTTTTATAATTATTAACAAATAATTATTTCATTAATTTCATCATATTCTACTTCTATATTAGAGTTTATTTTTTAAATAAGAATTAAAATATTCATTTTCTAATATATTTTAAGAAATGAATATAAAGAAAACTAAATATTTTATAATAATAATAATAATAATAATTGGTTGTGATATATTATTGAAGTTTATTTGTAATTTTATTTATTCAATATTCTTACTAACTCTTTATGTATCAATTTATTGATAATATTACAGGAAATATTTTTATATTAATTCTCTATTTAATCTTATTTTTTCATATAATTCTTTGTATTTATTTTATAATATTTTAATTCTATATTTTCTATCTTGATATATGGCATCATCAACAAGTACTATTTCTCATCTTTCATATTTTGATAATATTTATTTTATTTTCTAACATTAAAAGAATAATCAATAAGTAAAAAACATTAAAGAAAGATATAACCATTTTATTATTAATACAATTATGAATTAAAACCAAATGTAATAAATTCATTTAAATATGTAAGTAATATACTTCTATATATTTGTTTAGATATAGATAAATGAAATAATGTTACCAGATAAAAGAATTTTATAACATTTATTTTCTTTTTTTTTATAACAAAAAATATTTCAATTTTATTTTGTTATTGTATTTCTATATTTATATTATTAATAACATTTTTTTAATTTTAATTTTTGTTTTTAATAAAAATAACAAATTCTATAATATAGTAAATATTTTACTATTCTTTTTTTTTCTTTGTATTATCTTACATTTATATCTATATCACTTATTGTTCATTTTATCTCTATTTTATTTATTTAAATATTATTTTTATATAATTTTAATTTAATAAATAAATTATTTGTGTTGAAATTAATATATAATAATGAACTGATACATTTTTTAAACAATTTTTCAGTATTTAGATATACCACATTTTATTTATTATTTAAATATAACATATTCTTATATTTATATCATTTTACTATTTCTATTTGATATCATAACATTATTTTAATAAAATATGATACTCTTGATTCAA